TTCAGTAATTTTCGTTTTCATTTACCAAGCCATCAAAACCATGTGTGCCCACGTTCAGACACTATTTGGCGTGCACAATCTTTATACCAAATTTTATAATGATTGATTAAGCCGTTAAGGTGCCAAGAGACGTCAAACAAACACTCTCACATTTATAATATTCTTATGGATAAACACATGCAGAGACGCGATGCTTGGAAAAAATTCTTGTTTGGAATCTCATAGAAGGACACTAATGCGTAAAAGTACCTATGTATGTATATTTTAAATACACTATCGGAATTTAACGCGATGAATTTTTTTTGCAGGTACATACCAACACACCTGTTTCTTTTTTGCTGACGTTTCGTCGTGGTGCAATCCACGTCGAAGCGTCGGAATAGTGTACTCAATGTATGTGTAAACAACGGGAAAGTTTAAAATTAATTACCTATGTATGTAGGGCTGCTGAAATTTATACCAAGTTGCCAAAATTTGTTCGAAATATAGTAATAATTTATTACTCGAAAAAAGAAAAATTTCGTGCCTTTTGATTTCGTTTGTGGATATCGATGACTTTTAAAAAGGTTTCGTGCCCTTCGATTTTTAAATGTTCTTATGATAATATAGACTTCCTAGCAGATCAATTAAAACCTTAAACTATTATTTTAAGCATAATATAGTTAGATAGAGTCGGTCATAGAGCAGCCTTTATTTTATTTATTGGATAGTTCATATTTATGAACATCGAATAAATAACGGAATTACACAATTTTTAAGTCTTATTAAAGTTTATAACGAAGAATGGGTAGATGGATAAATTTTTGTTACTCTTTCACGTAAAAACTTTTAAACGGATTTGTATGAAATTTGGTACATAGGTAGGCTATATCATATAAGATACTGTATGTACTGATCCACGCTGGTGAAACCGCGGGAACAATTACAAGCTGTTTAATTTATATTGTTTATTAGTTTAATTTAATTTTTCAGATAAATATGTGTAATGTGTATGAATCCAAGTTATGGTTAGATATATTTATAGAATTGCCATGTAGTCTCAAAATAGAATGGGCCACTTCTTTCTTTTCTATGGATGGTCAATATTCCACCAATTTTCCTTTATATAACACTCCCCAATAGGGAGACGCCTATATTCATCAGTGGATATTTCATGATTGTTATGATGAGGATGATTTAAACATGCACATAGGAAATAATTTAGTGTTTGTAAAAAATATCTTTTGCATATTTGTCAGAAAGTCCTTTTTCCTTGGAAAACTTTTAACGACAACATTAAAAGAGAGTATGGCTACAACTATATATATGATGGGGTAGGCTCGATGTCAACAATTCTGAGAAATGTAAGTATGTAGAGTATTTTGCTCTTTAGAACGCACTCTCTAAATATCATCATTATATCAGCCGTTAAACTATCCACTACTGAACAAAGTCCTCCCTCATAGACTGCCTTTGACTTTACCAGAGGGAGACTTTGTACAAAAGTCGATTGCTTGGGTACCTCTGTCCCATTCGTGTTTCTACCGTGAAGCAGTTGTGTTTATATGGTTGTGTTTCGGTTTGAAGGGTGGGATATGGCGTGAATTTACAGGGTACAAAGAAATAACACCCGAGTCCTTAGGAATGGCAATGCATGGGGGGTATCATAGGCGAAACAGTATACTCTGTTATGTCCATGGTACTTCTTATGTCTATAGGCGACGGTTACCATTTTCCATCAGGTGGGCCGTAAGCTTGTTTGCCATTCTAAGTCGTATAAAAAAAGAACCTATTGCTATGTTTGTATAGTACACTTTCTTAGTTTGAGTTTAAACTAATATTATTAATGAATTGCAGCAACATAGATATTATTTATATTTATATATTAATCAACCGTTTACATAGATACTCTTTGTTATTATTTCTTTAAAACATACCCACTTTAACTTACCTTACTTATTTTAAACTTATAATTTTCGTTTATAAAATTTAAATTCTTTATTGGCTGTATGTATAAGAGACACAACATGTAATTTGTTTTGTAAGAGAGCTGTGTATTATTGTTAGAAATAAAAAAATAATAATAAAAATAAAGACACTGGCCATGTCTACATTTCTAAGAACTGTTGACAGCGAGCCTACCCCATCATGGATATAGTTGTGTACACATTTATTTTTATTATAGGCGTTAAAAATAGTCACGTTTAAAACGTGTTCCGAGAAAATAGTCAAGTAATAACAAGTAATAACAACAATACAGGTACAGGCCACATATATTATTATTATTATTTACCAAATTCGAAATTGACATGCATCTCTATTTCCTTTTAGTTGCCCTTCACGGCCTTCACGATCCTAGTCTTCTAAAATGGGGTAGACAGGGATCGTTAGTAGTAAGATCCAACAAACACTTTACTAGCAGTTTATCCTAACAGGTCGACCTCTATGCGGTTCCACCTGGAAAACATCGTGGCCAATTTTTGATGAATCTATCATGATGGGCCAACTGACCTGCTTCAATCTCACCTATTATCCCTCACTCGTGCCCTGCCAGCGTATCCCGATAGCGCAGGCGGTGTGACCATTCCCTTTTCATCCATTAAAAAAAGTCTTCTAAGTTTCTTTAGCAATATACATATATTTTTAATTCCTATTCCTGGTTTCCATTGCCACCCCCAATAATAATAATTATTACTGTGAGTGATAAAGGTAACCAGATTATGTTTAACTTTAAATTTAAACTTTAACTTTATAATTGTATTGTGTAGTGGTTCAGTTTCACAACTTTTTGTTATCAAAAAGTTGTTAGATTGAAGTTTAAATTGTTATGACATTAGTGTAAAAATAAACTAGTTACACAACATTAATTTAAGAACATTTCAACGTGTAAAGGTTTAATTTCATAATGCATATTTAGTTTAATTAGTGTGATAATGTCGCGCGTCATATAATTTGGGTGCCGCATTTTGTTTTAATTTTTTTTATGCAACTTAGAATGGCAAACACGCTGACGGTCCACCTGATGAAAAGTGGTAACTGTCGCCTATAGACATGAGCCATACCATGGACATAACAGAGTATACTGTTTCACCCATGATACCCTCATGCGTTGCCATTTGTAAGGACTCAGGTGTTACTCCTCTGTACCCTGTAAATTCACTGCCATATCCCACGTTTCAAACCGAAACACAACGGATATTAAAACGGAAGGTACAAAGGAAGCCTTATGGTCAGACTATCCGTCCGTTATAGTACTATAATCTCCGCAATTGTTATGTTACCAGTTTGAAATAGTTACAGATATTGTTCACATATCCATATTACAAAATTAATAATTGAAAAAATAAAGTTGATTTGTGGTCTCTAAAACTTTTTTCCTTTTTAGTTGAAATGACTATCGGCTCGTTTATCATTCTAAGTTGCATAAAAAATCGACTTCAGAAAGTGAAAGAAGAAGATTCACAATACAAACGATTGATTCTCAATCGATCGTTTGTATTTTTTTATATTTGTTACCTCATAATTTTGTTAGCTAAAAACATTTTGAAAATTATTTTTTTATTTGAAAAGACAAACTTATATATTGGTTTCATAGAAATTTTATCGAAGTCGGTTCAGCAATTTAGACTTTAAATCAGAATATATGATTTTGCCATATTTGAAGTCGGTTTTTTTTTGTGGGACACAATCTTTAAATATATGCCGTGTAATTTCCGATTTATGATTAGAAACGTAAAAAAAAACTATTACTTCTGAAGATGATGAAGCGAAAAATTTCAAATAGAACAAAACAGCAAGCAACATGTTTTCTAACTGCATTGGGTTGACTGGAAGAGATCTCTGTCAGAGATAAGTCCACCCTTGCTCACAATATTTATAAATGCATTAACATTGTAATCTACAAGTGCAATAAAGAATATATATAAAACAGTCTGACCACTAAGCCGCAAGAAGTTGTTCGGTTTTGTATTTAAGTTACCTATCTATTGGGGGAAAAACCATTGTATCTATCAAGTTAAATCAAACACGTTAGGGCGGGAAGGGGATTGTTAGTGATGGAGACTGAGAATCCCATTGCTAGCAATATACCCAACCAGGTCGACCTCCTCGCGGTTCCCCCTGGAAACTGTCATGGTTAATCCCTGATGAATTCGTCATGATGGGCTAACTGACCTGTTTTCATTCTCATCGATCACCCTTCATTGATGCTCCGCCAGCGTATCCCGTTAGCGCAGGCGGGGTTACCATACTATTTTCACCCATCAAAAAAAAAAACAAACACATTAAATATAGTCATTAAAATCGCTTGATCAGTTTCAGATATTATATTTGTCAAAATTCATCGTACTTAGATTTTTATATATTAAGACATGTTAGTACGCGTATTATAGGAAAGATAGAAAGATGTTTCCAATTCGCACAATTTTAGAGAATTTACCCAAAATATACTGTTTTGGGTGGCAGGTGGCCGGTCGGAAAACTAAAAACCAAATCTTTTTGTAATATGGATAAAACCATATTACGCCGACCCCAAATGATTGGGATGATGATACTGTTTTGGGTAATTTCTCTATTTTATTTGTATATATTCATTAAGTGATGCAATAAAGAGTAAATAAATAAATATACTCAAAAACAAATTGAATTATGTGGTTTAGTTTTTTACTAAGTACAGTATATAAAACTAATGCAACTAATTTAAAATTATGTGCGATTTAGTAGATTCATTGTTATTATGCATGTTCATGTTTTTGCTTGAGACTTAAGTATAACTGTTATTTACATTTTTTATTTAGATAAGGGCCAGTTTAACAACAGTGATAATTGATTTTTGCTTATCATTGAATAAATAAATATTATTATGACAAATGTAACCGCGTGTGTCTATGTTACAAGGTAAAGTCTCTTAAAAAATATGGAAATAAACGTTTTTGTTATTGTCGATGTTATTTTTGGTAGTATATTAACGGGCTCCAATGGAACCGGTCGCGGTAAGGTTACGACGGTAAAGAGATTTCGCGTTCGGTAACCCGACGCGATGGTGTCACGTCACTAGTCACTCTAGCCAGCCAGTGTTAATGTTCAGGCCGGTGGGGGTGTACGCGTCGCCATACTGTTTACGCGGGAAACACGCGTGTTAACAACTTAAACTTTTTCTCGATGAAATAAACCACAGATTCCATAAAAAATTGTGTTCAAATTTTGAATCACCGAGTTCTATTCGAATTGTGTTTAAAAAGTTATAAGTGTGTGTGAATTAAAAAAAAAATAATAATAATAAAGTGATGCTTTTAGTGTTTTTCGGTAATAATACCGATGGTTTGTAGTGTTGGAAAATTGTTTTCGATTTTGCCCGTATCAAACGAAAGCGATAATCGTTATTCTACACGTTATTATTTCTGTAAGAATTCAGCTGTACAAATGTACATCGCGCGGTGTCGCGTAAACGAATTTACATACAAAAGAATTCTGAAATTCAAACTGAAAATATACGGTGTAGCATTGTTGAAACAGGTTTTCGTCTAAAAAAAGCCAAATTGGTTGTTATTCATGTAGAGGCCACATGACGAATTTTAGTCCCAATTATATCATTACCAAATAATATAATGGCGTGAATACTAATTTACGTTGTGGCTGGAATGGATCTTTTTATGTGCAGTAAAAACGAGTTTATATGCACGATAATAATATCTATTTCCGCTTTTATTTTAACGTGTTATAAGATATATTTTAGACAATTTTATTATCTCTTATCTCGACTAGGCAGTGGCTATTATATTTAACGTAAGCACGATACAAGTAATGTATAAATTTTATTTCAACAAACTGAACATGTAATAACTTCACACTAAAAGACTATTTTATTTGAATACTTGTATTTTAAAAAGAATTTTCAATTTTATATATTATAAGATACGTTTTTTTTTTACATTAATTTGTTATGTTTGTTAATCAAGTAACATAAATTGATATAATAAACTTAATATGCAATATTTTCACATTAAAAGACTTAGTTCCTTGAATTTTTGAACTTGATACAAATGTTCTAAAAGTTAAGTACACATCGTATCTTTTAACCAATTATCTGTTATCTCAACTAGATGTCGAGTATTAATTACATATATTTTTTAAATATTTGTGTAAGGTAAGTACTATATAAATTAATAAATATAATATTTATATACTAATATATTTCTTTTTGTTGAGTTTTTGTATTCGAAATAAGCAGAGACAATGTTATTAGCCCTTCTCATGACTACGTATTCAGTATTACTTATAATTTTTTCACAAGTATGCTATTACGCAAGTAATAGGTACAAAAAAGATTTATTACGTTGAGTTCTTGTACTTGAAATAAAAATTCCATTTTTATATAAATATAATAAGACACTTATGACTAGATATTTAGTATTCATTATATATATATTTTTTTCTTAGAAACGTAAATAGGTACTACGCAAGTAATATATAATTTTATTCAATAAACTGAATATAGTATTATTTGGTTACATATATTTAACATATATTTAATTTTATTTTTGGGATATAACGCGACGTGTTTATAGGTAGGTACTTTACCCGTAATCGGGTTGCGTTAAGCCTCCAAAATAAATTGAAATGTATGTAAAAAAACGCGAAAGTTTAACGACAATTTTCTTCTTTGAGTTTTTTTTTTATATATAATAGACATTTTTTTATAAAAAAGTAAGTCAATTTCAACTGTTAACACAGATTTAATTAATTTCTTCAATAACTAACAAATTTGCATAAAAAGTGCATCTTTATATGTGGGAAAAATAAAATGACTAAACACTAAAATTAAGCTGTTATCTTTTAAATCAATATAATGTTATAACGTTATGCTAAGCTATTTATATTGAATGATGGATGAGACGCCATAGCGTCTATTCAATGACATTTTAAAGACATTGAGATCTATGTTTCATATTACCTAACATAGTATTAATTATTCTTTAGAATATATATATATATATATATATAAATACAAATCTTTCCTCTTTATTATATATATATATATATATATATATACGGCTTTACCGATTTTTATAAAATTTTGTGTGCATATTGGGTAGGTCTGAGAATCGGCCAACATCTATTTTTCATATCCCCCAATGATAAGAGTAACCCACCCCTTATTTATTTTGATTAATTTATTTATATTATGATTTAGCATTGAAAAATACATACAACTTCAAATTTTCACACTTTTACGATCAACCCGTTTTTTAGAAGCGATTTTTATATTCCGCAATAGGATTGCAAGATGAAAATCGAATATAATAATTGTAGTACGATGAATTTTCATGTATAGTTCTAGAAATAATGTATGTGTAATGTAATGTGAATAGAAGAAATCATCATCATCATATCAGCCTTTAACTGTCCACTGCCGAACATAAGCCTCCCATTTGGGAGATTTTGTTAGTAGTTGCTAGAAGACATATTTAACATAAAAACCTTTTTTCCCGGTTAAACTTTAGGGAAGTGATAACTCGAATTCTATTATTAATAGTGGATATTATAATTTTAGGTTATATTTCCTATACCTTTGCCGTAAAGGGAATATAAAATTACATTTATTAGCAAAAAAATATCTTAATCAAAAGATTATTCAAATAGCCTGATACGGAGTAATGTTTTGTATTCAAGGTTTTTATTAAAACTTGAGTTTCCATAAAAACAATTTAGTGTAGGTACGTACATTTTATGTGTGTATGCAAATTTTTTACTGCCATAATTTTGATTGCAAATTGCAACTGCAGATGTGTTTTTTTCTTTCTATTAAATTTTATTACTTATTAAGTTAATATAATACTAATGTTTGAGTAACTATATATCTTATACAAGTTACTACATACTTTAAGATAAAATTATAATAATGTCATATAAATTTAGTGCAGTGTATAGTGATGGGCTTAAAGATATAGAATATTAAATTATAGTTTCCATATTTATCTATTAACTAGGTTTTGCCCGCGGCTTTATTCGCGTGTGATAATCTATCTATTCTTCTACAATTCACGTGTGTTTAACATCTAAAGTGACGAAATTCCATATAATCTTTCAACCTCTGTTTCGTCTCTTCTAGGGGTTGAATTTTTCGAATTTCTTCTTTATGGATTACCTACTCTATGATAGAATTTATCTAAAAAATTTCAAAATAATAGACTTAGCAGTTTTAGATGTGTGTTGATATATGATACATATATCAGTCAGTCAATCTGCATCCACTTTTATATATATATATAGTTATATAGATACTTAGGTTGTGGAATGAGCTCTCTGCTGTGGATTACCCTAGAGACTAAAGTATGAGGTTCTTAAAAAGTGTATAATAAGGTTTCTTCAGGGCTAGAAACGCACATGTGACATCCCTAGTATTATAGTATGCTTGTTTGCCATCATTGTGGTATAAAAAAAATTACTCTAGTTTAAAAAAACAAAAAGTAAGTACAATATAGAATGTGATGGCTTGTTGCAATACAAATGTAAAGGAAATTAAGTGCTGTCGAAGTAAATTGCTCTTCACAAGATACAAATACAAAAAATATTTGTCTAAAAATATTACGAAAAGTTCAATTGTATCGTTATTTGCACAATGGGCGAAGTTATATTTATTGGAACACTAAAACAATAACATAATTCCTGTACATTTTATTTATTAAAATAGGATTTCTATGAATACTACCACATCAGCCATTAGCTGTCCACTGCTGGCAACAAAGACTTCGCACATCGCTCATAAGGGGGATTGACAACCGCAGTTAGGTTTTGGTAATATTTTAAGAAAGAAGGACACTGATGCCCATCCCTCGGTCTCACACATGAAAGAGGACGGGGTGGCCCATTTTATGCGGGGTACTCTTTTGTATTAAATCCCAGCAGTAGTGTTTCTAGACCGACACTAAATTGAAACTTTCAAAAAAGAGAATATTCGTTTTTCAAAAGGTCCGCGGCACATCTACAATTTCTCCCGTGTTGTGGATGCTAATAGGCGGCGGAAGCCACTAAAATATCATTATGTGAGTAGCATGCCCCCTTTTTTTCTGGCTGTGTTATAAAAAACGCACACGTGCATAGAAACACAGATTAATTAAGAATCTCCGTCGTTTAGAAATATAGTAATTACTTTCTGTGTTTCTCTTCATGTACCTTTGCTTACCATGAATTAGATAAATTAGGATAAAAGTATATTCGATTAGTTAAATTCGTTCAGTTGTTCAAGTGTATTTGAGTAAATGTATGTATATGTATGTATGCATGTGTGTGTATATATATATATATATATATATATATATATATATATATATATATATATATATATATATATATATATATATATATATATAGTATATATGTTATAACTGTGTAAAAGTATAATATAAAGCAGTATCGCGGCACTAAGAATGCAATAAGAATATTGATATACAAAAATTATTACATTAGTAGGATAAAGAAATATTGCCGTTTAATTTGGAAGCTGAACACATTTCCATCAAATGTAGTTACTTTTATGGGTGAAAATAGAATGATCGTCCCACCTGCGCTATCGGTCTGTACTGGCGGGGCACCAGTGAGTGATGATAGGTGAGGATGAAAGCAGGTTAGTTAGCCCATCGTATCAAATTCAAGAATTATCCACTAAGTTTTCCAGGGGAATCGTGTAGATGTTGGAGGACCTAATATGGTATATTAGAAACAATGGGCTAGTTAGATGAGGCCTAACAGGCCCATTAACGATTCCTTTCCCCCATCAAATATAATTGAAAAAGTTCATTTATATACGTACTAGCTTTTACCTGCGACTTTTTTCACGTGTTCGAGATATATTTCCTGACTGGGATAAAAATATCCTATGTCCTTCTTCATATAGTATGTTTATAAAAGATTTTACAGTGATTGATTAAGTCGTTAAAGCGTTAAGTGGTAACAAAGAAACAAACTTACTTTCACATGTGTAATATTAGTAAAGATGTAGTCACGTTAAAAGCTTTCAAACATTTTTCAATCTACACGATTTCTCTACCCGCATTTATCTCTGTTCATTAATTTCGGATTAATTTATAACTTTTTGCTATGGGAGAATAAAACGATCCTCCTAATATTATAAATATGAAAAGTTGTGGAGATGTTTGTATGATTCTTATGCAATTACAACAAGACTCTATTCCACAGAAATATTTTAATGATAGTATTAACAATAGTTTTTTAAAAAACAATCCGTTAGGAAGATTAATAAATAAATAGGCAACATACCACATACCAACCGAGCTGGTTCTCAAGCTACGAGATATTCT